GTTAAATCGGCGGTGTCTGCGTGGTGCGAGCCCAGGTGGGCGGACGGATTGGGACGCCGTGAGGGGTGGAGACCACGGAGGTCAGCCAACCCCTCCCCTCAACCCACCACAATCCCCACCCTGACACGCAGGCCGACGGGCGTGGTGCGGCAGGCCATGCTGGGCATGCACTTCCCCCGCCTGGTCCACGTGCGCAGCGACTGGACGCTGTGCAACGGCCGGCGGCGACGCGGCGGCTGGCGCCTGACCACGCTGAGGAAGCGCATCCTCATGTGAATCGTGACACGTGTGGGGTTTGTGCCGGGGCGAAGAGTGTCCAGGTGCAGCGCTGCGAGTGCGCACCCCCGGCCCGATTCCCTCTACCACCTGGGGGGCGCCCCCCCTCGAGGCGGACTGTACCATTCCTGAACTCGGTTGTGACCATGTGACATTGCCAGGCGGGTGGGGTGGGGGGGCCCGGCAGGGGGTGCGCGGGTGGCGGGTCTGGCTGGGGACCTTGGGCCCCCTTGTCAACAGAAGGATTGGTCGGTCCTGGCGCCCTCGGCACGACCGAGGCAGGAAACCCTCATGGCAACGAGGGCCAAGCGCGTGGGTGACAGAATCGATGCCAGCACGGGAATGCAGGATCAGGCACATCTGGCTGCATCGACCACACGGTCCGCCCAGCGCTGACCCCCCCAGCGTCGTCGCGGGACGCGCGAGCCAGCTGCTGCTCAGCGGTGATCCGGCCCGGGTCCGAGAATATGCTCGACTCACATGCCCCGCGGACCTGGCCCCCCGGCATCCACACGGCATCTTCCTGACCCCTGAGCACAGAAAGTGGACAGCTCGACTGCCCTCGACCGCCATCGACCAGATCAATACCATACCCGGCCCGGACTCGTGCGAATCCCGGCGCCCGCGCCCGGTGCTCCGACCCGCCCCGACAGATCCAGGATGCAGGAGGCACTGGGCGACACCTTTGCTGGTAAGACATGCGCTGCATTCTAGACATGCATGATGGGGATGCCACATCCCCAGACCGGGGTGGGAGCCTGGCCTTGCTACCTGGCGGGCAAGGCAGTGGGCATGAATTTCCACCCACACCCCTCAACCCCCACAGTGCCCCTCAAGTCCCTGGGCTCCGGCTCGGACCTGACCCTGCCCTCCTCCTCCGAGGCCGACACCTTGGAGCGCCATGACCTGGCCCTGCTGGCGGGGTCGGCCCCTACCCTGACCCGCGATGAGATATTGGAGCGGCGCCGGAAGCATTACGGCCCCAACCTGGCCCTGTTCTTCCCCGAGGACCCGCTGCACGTCACCAGCGCCGTCGGCTGCCGGCTGTACACCAGCGATTCCCGCGAGGAGGCCGACTCCTACCTGGACTGCATAAACAACGTCTCCCACGTGGGCCACTGCCATCCCCAGGTCGGTTGGCTGCTGCGGTTGGGAGTTGCTGGATAGGGGGAATGGGGTCCGGGGTGTCGTCATGGCCGCCACGCCTGACCCAGCAAGCGCGCCTGGTCCAGATGGTGATTGCAGGGGTGTTGAAGGAGTGATGGAGAGCTACCCTGGCCTCGCCTGCCTGCCCATACTGGGCGGGCGTGTGTTGATGGGCCTGATCCAGGCATCTTCCCCGCCCCTCTCCCTTTGGTGCTCCCGGTCCCGTCGCCCCTCCCTCCTCCGATCCTCTGGACCACCCCGAGTCAAGCACCCTCAAATTACTCCCCCCAGGTGACGGCGGCCATCGCCGGGCAGCTGGCGCGGGTGAACACCAACAGCCGGTACCTGAGCCAGGAGCACGTGCAGTATGCGGAGGCGCTGACGGCCACCTTCCCCGCCCCGCTGGAGACGCTGTACCTGCTGTCCTCGGGGTCGGAGGCCAACGAGCTGGCGCTGCGCGTGGCACGCACGCTGCGCTGCGACGGCGCGCCGCGCACGGCGCCGCTGCACGTGGCCGTGCTGGACCACGCCTACCACGGCCACACCAACGCCGCCATGGAGCTGTCGCCCTACAAGTTCTACGGCCCGGGCGGCGCGGGCCGCGCGCAGCATGTCCACGTCCTGCCCTGCCCGGACACGTACCGCGGCACGGGGCTGGGCGGCGAGGCTGCGGCGCGCGCCGCGGTGGCCGAGGCTGCTGCCGCGGGGGCCACCATCGGCGCCTTCTTCGCCGAGTCGGTCATCTCCTGCGGCGGCCAGGTCATGTTCCCGGACGGCTACCTGGCCGGGGTCTACCGCGTCATGCGGGAGCAGGGCGCGCTGTGCGTGGCGGACGAGGTGCAGTGCGGGTTTGGCCGCGTGGGCGACGCCTTCTGGGCCTTCCAGCTCCAGGGTGTGGTCCCCGACATCGTCACCATCGGCAAGCCCATGGGCAACGGCTACCCGGTGTCGGGCGCGGTCATGTCGCGCGCGCTGGCGGGCGCCTTTGCCGCGGCGGGCGGCGAGTTCTTCGCCACGCACGGCGGGTCCAACGCGGCGGTGGCCGCGGGCGCGGCCACGCTGCGCGTGCTTCGCGAGGAGGGACTGCAGGCCCGCGCCGCGGCCGTCGGCGCCCACGTCGCCGCGGGGATGCGCGCGCTCCAGGCCGCATACCCGACGCTGGTCGGCGATGTGCGCGGGCGCGGGCTCATGCTGGGCATGGAGCTGGTGACAGACGCGGCGACGCGCGCGCCGGCGCCGGCGCTGGCGGCCGCGCTGCGCGCGCGCTGCGCCGCGCGGCACCGCGTCCTGCTCAGCGCCGAGGGGCCCTGGGGCTCGGTCATCAAGTTCAAGCCGCCCATGTGCTTCGGCGAGCGCGAGGCGGACCGCATGCTGCGCGCGCTGGGGTGTGAGCTGGCGGCGCTGGCCGCGGACCACGAGCAGCTGCAGGCCCTGCACGACGCCAGCCGGGCGGCCGTGGCCCAGCTGACGCGGGCGCGCGAGGCGTGGGACTGAGATGGCTCGGAGGTGGAGGGCGATGCTCCCGTGTACCAACACCCTCGGACGCAGGCGCCGCGCTTGGCCCCAGCCACGTCCGCCCATTTCATTCCCGGCCTCTGTATCCAGGGTCCTCTGGTCTGTGCAGTAATGATTATCCCTGTTCCTTCACCTGTAAAGAATGGACCCGTGTGCTGCCACGGTGGCACTGCAGATCGTGCATGTGCCTTGGAACCACCTCGAATGTAAGGCTCCTTCGAACTCCGAGAGGCCCACAGAACCGCTTTTGTAAGAGGAAACTCGGGTAAAGACTCCTCCAGCTGCATTAAAGGCGCCAGGGAGGAGGCAAAGGAGAGGGCCCCAGCCCGGAGGGTGCTCATGGCGCACCGCCTGCTCCAGGACCCGGAGGCAGATGGGTGGGAGCGCAAGGACTTTCCTATCATCTGCGAGACTTGCCTGGGTCCCAATCCATACGTTCGCATGCAGAGGGTGAGAGGCTTGGGCCGGAGGGTGGGTTTCCTGCTCCGCCCAGTGTGGACCTGCTCGCAGGGTGCCCTCGACACCCCTCGGCTGCACGTCATCCTCCCCCTCCCCCGCGCAGATGGACTACGGCAGCACCTGCCACATCTCGGGCCGGCCATACACCGTGTTCCGGTGGCGCCCCGGGAACGACGCCCGGTACAAGAAGACCATCATCTGCCAGGAGGTGGCCAAGGCCAAGAATGTGTGCCAGTGCTGCCTGCTGGACCTGGACTACAACCTCCCCGTGCAAGTCCGGGACGAGGCCCTGGGCATGCAGGCCGACCAGCTCCCCGCCAGCGACGCGGGCAAGGAGTATGCCCTGCAGCGCATGTCGGACGCGGGAGAGCTGGACCACTCCAAGTTTGACACCCCCACCGCACCGGAGCTCCTGGTCAAGCTGCAGCGCACCACCCCCTACTACAAGGTGAGGCCCAGGTGGATGGGAGTCGAGGGAAGGGGGTGGGGGTTGGACGAGCATCTGGCAGTATAGTAAGGGTGGAATGTGACTGGCTGCTTGACCTTTGGGTCAAGAAGCCGATTGCAGGCATTGAAAAGGGGCGAGCAAGGGGGCTGAGAAGTGCTGTGCACCTTGCGTGCTTGGATCGGTGCAGGCATCAGCTGGGGTTGCAGACCAAGCAGCCCGGGGCTCTTTTTGACGAGCAGGAGGGACACTGTTGCGTCATGTCCCTCAGGGAGGTCGACAGCTCAGCAGCGCTGACACCCCTCCCCCGCCCCCCCTTTTGCCTCTCCCGTCGCAGCGCAACCAAGCCAAGATCTGCTCCTTCTTCGTCAAGGGCATGTGCAAGCGTGGCGCGGAGTGCCCCTACCGCCATGAGATGCCCATTGAGGGCCCGCTGTCCAAGCAGAACATCAAGGACCGGTACTACGGCGTGAACGACCCCGTGGCGGAGAAGATGCTGGGCCGTGCCGCGGAGATGCAGAAGCTGACCCCGCCCGAGGACACGAGCATCGCCACGCTATTCGTCGGCGGCCTGGGATCCGAGCATTCCGAGGCCGACCTGCGCGACATTTTCTACACCCACGGCGAGCTTAAGTCGGTGAAGAAGCTGGAGAGCAAGGGCGTGGCCTTCGTGACCTTCACCACGCGGCAGGGGGCCGAGGCGGCGGCCGAGGCGCTGAGCAACCGGCTGATCATCAAGGGCCAGAGGTGCAAGCTGCTGTGGGGGCGGCCGCAGCCGGGCAGGGCGGCGGGCGGGCCGCCGCCTGCTCCGGGTGGAGGCGGCGGCGCGGGAGCCGGCTTCCCGACGGGGACGGGGCCCGCGGCCGCCTACCCCTCCATGGACCCCACGCAGGCGGGCACGAGGGGGGAGGGCGGGCCCGCCGGCAAGCGGCCGTCCCAGGGGGCCCAAGGCGGCGTCGACGCCCAGAAGCGGCCGAGAGTCCCTGTGCCGCCGCCGGGGGGCCCCCCTCCCGTCGTGACCGCATGAGGACTGACCCGCCACTGCACGTGGAATGTAACAATACCCTGACAGGGGAGGCTTAGTTGCAGCACGCTCGTACAGGGAATTGAGAGCGTAGGCGGGGTGTGCTCCCTCCGACAGGCAGGGGGGGTCTGTGCGATTTCGAATCCGAGTGGTTTCCATGTCGGAAAGCAGCACTCCCACCCTCCCGGGCTCTGGATAGCCCAGCGCAACCCAATGAGCCTTACCCACCTATAATGAGGTGCCAAGTTCGTGTGTGGGTCTGGAAGGCCCGGGCGCGCCCCCCAACGGCCCCATCGTGCCCCCGTCCTGGTATCGCCATGCCGGGCGTACACTGCAGCCTGGCCCTGGCCCTCCTGCTCCATGCTGCCGCCGCCCAGACTCAGATGCCGCCCTCTGGCATCCTGTACCCGCCCGATTCCACAGGCCCAGCCGTGGTCACCGTGTCGCAGCTGGAACGAGGGATGTGCCCGCCCGCTCTGGGTTCGACGGCCCACCCCCCCGTCCTGGAGCTCAGCATCGCGGGGGCCCGGATCGCCATGCTGGCCGGCAGGTTCACCTGCACGCAGCTGGTGCAGACCTACCTGGACCGCATCCGGGTGTACGACGCTCCCCTGGGCCTGAACTCGGTCAGGGCGGTGGATGTGGAGCAGGCCCTGGCAGCTGCCGCGACCGCCGATGCCCAGCTGGCTGCCGCGATCGCCCAGGGCAATGACAGCAGCCTGGCGCCGCTCTTCTGCACCCCCATGCTGCTCAAGGACAATTTCGACGTGGTGGGCCTGGCCACCACCGCAGGTGTGGGGTGAGGTTATTCTGTCCTCGCTGGTGAAGGGGCCCTGATCTTGCTCAATCCGTGCAGGCACGTTGTCTGCGAGGGAGTGAGGAGCCTGGCTGCCATCCATGCCACGCGCCTGCCCTCGTCAGGACTCCCTGCCGTCGTCCAGATATCATGCAGTCACCGAATCAGCGCCGACGCACCTCCATCCCAGCAACCTGCATCCACCCCCCCCCCCCCCCACTATCCACACGCGCCAGGCTCGGTGGCCCTGGCCGAGAACTACCCGCGCACAGATGCCTGGGTGGTGCGCCGGCTCAAGGCCGCGGGCGCCATCGTCTTCGGCAAGGCCAACATGGGCGAGTTCGCGCTGTTCCCCTCCTTCACCCTGGGCTCTCTGGCGGGGTTTACGCGCAACCCTTACCACCTGCACCACAGCCCTGCGGGGTCGAGCGGCGGCAGCGCGGCCGCCGTCTCCGCCAACCTCGCACTGGCGGCGCTGGGCACCGACACGGGGAACAGCGTGCGCGGCCCCGCCAGCCATGCCGGGGTCGTGGGTCTGCGCCCCAGCATCGGCCTGGTGGGGCGCAGCGGCGTGGTGCCCCTGCGCCTGGATCGCGACGCGGTGGGCCCCCTCACCCGCACCGTGGCCGACGCCGCGGCGCTGCTGGGGGCCATGGCCGGGCTTGACCCCGGCGACGAGGCCAGCGTGCACGAGCTGGGGGGGCCGGCGCCGGCGCACGCCCCGCCGGCAGACTACACCCGCTTCCTGCGGGGCGCCAGCCTGGCGGGTTCGCGTATCGGCGTGCTGCGCTCCATCCTCGACCTCCCCGGCACCGACGTCCAGATCCGGGCCATGTTCAACGGCGCGCTCTACACCATGCAGGCGGCGGGTGAGACGATTGTTGTGCTGGTTGGGAAAGGGGGAGCGGGGGAACGTGGCTCTCCAGTGTGCCGCGCCGCGTGCCCTGGCGTTCCTCGTTCCTGTCATGGTCCTCCCTGGCACCAAAAACACTCCCAGGATCTCACCTCCTCCCCGCCCCCTGCGACAGGCGCCATGCTGGTCGACAACTTCACCATCGCGAACAACAGCCTGGGGGAGCCCTGGAGCGCAAACCGGGATGGCCAGGGTCCCGCTCTGGGGCACTGGAACGTGGACGGAGAGTGGTCGGACCTGTGGGCCTGCAACTCCCCCTTCAGGTGAGGGCTGGCCATGGGTGTGAGGGAAGGGAGGTACGGCTGACTGGCGAGGGGTCGCTGCCGCGCAGCTGTCCTCGCAGCAGCCTGCCTGGCGTGGCTCAGCACTCGCTGTCAGATGTCCGTCAGCCGCAGCGCCCCACCACCCCCACTGGACCCCACACACAACACAGGTCGGGGATGGACGGGTACCTGGCCAGCCGCAACGCCTCCAACGTGGTGCGCAGCCTGTCGGCCCTGTATGCCGGCGGGGACTACCACCCTCTCTCCCGCGACTCCATCCTGGCCTCGCTCCAGGCGCCGGAGCCCGACCCGGCCGCCTTCCCGACGACCGCACAGCGCCTGGCGGGGCAGCGCTGCGGCTGCAGCTACTGGTGGGACGACCCCTGCCGCACCGAGTTCCGCAAGGTGAGGGGGGTAGCCTGGATGTCCCGAGCGGGAAGGCATGTGAGATGAGGTGTCGGGAGTGTCCGTGCAGTCCCAATGATCACTCACGCCACACGGCCAGCAGCTGCTCGCCCCCCTGGCTCCCCCTCTGAGCACCCGACCCCTACCACCCCCCATGCGCAGAGATTGATCGAAAGCATGGACGACGCTGACGTGGATGTGCTGGCGTACCCCACCTGGAATTCGCCGCCCCTCAAGATCGGGGACTCCTTCACCGGCTACTACGATGGCAACAACTCGCCCATGATCTCCCCCCAGACGGGGAGCCCCTCCATATCGGTGCCCATGGGCCTCAACAGTGAGCCGCTGGGCGGGGCTCGGTGGCGGCATGCGAGGGGGTGCCCCATGGGTCATGATGTGGGGGTCTTTTCCGACACCCTGTGCGCGCAGTTGGAGCGAGTTGCGCGGCGGGGCGATTGCACATCCATGTGCATGTGTTGCTTGACCGCTGATGCCCTGTTTGGAGAGCACCAGCATGGAGAAATCCTCTCCCCCACCCCGTCTCGCCCCGGCTGCAGCCCTGGGACTGCCGGCGGGCATCACCTTCCTGGCCCGCCCCTTTGACGAGGGCACGCTGCTCGCAATGGCGCACGCCTACGAGCAGGCCAGCCAGCTGCGAGCCCCGCCCATGCTCTTCCCGGACTGCACTGGAGGGAGCGTGCTCAGCCAGACAGCTGGGTAGGCAGCCGGTCACAACTGACACAAACAACATCCAACCCAAATGCAACGCCACCCGGTCTCCCCTTCCATGGGCAGAATTCTTTATAAACTCTCCGAAGCTCATTGGTGGACATTCGCAGTACCTTGAGGTTGTACTGTTTCTTGCCACGATATTCCCCCCTTCCAGTGACTCTGCAAATGAGTCGCTCCCTGTACTGCCACCCCCAGGTCTGTACCACCGGCACCTCGTGTAATGCTTGCTCGCGCTAGCGCAGACTCGATTACAGCATGGCTTTGCACACGAGAGAGGTATGGAGCAGGCATGGTCTTGAAGATGGGACGGTGTAGTTGCGAAAGGGGAGGGTGAAGGGGGGGATCTGTGGTTACTGGCCCTGTCCGGGCTGGACACCCCTGTGTGTTGGCTACCTATTGCTTCACGAGAGGTTGAGGTGGGTGGAGTGTAAAGGGACCACGACATCGCCAAGGCCGTCTGCGCAGCCGCCCTCCAGTCACATCGGCGCAGGCGCGGGCGAGGCTACCCACGCCGCCCTAACCGGTCGTCGACTGGCGCCGCGCGGTGCGGAACACGCCTGCGAAGGCGGCGGCCCCCCTCTCTGCCGCGTTCAGCAGCCCCCCCCCCATGCGGCTGCTGCCGGCGTAGGAGGAGGTCGAGGGCAGGGTGGACAGCCGCCAGCCGCTGCCGTCGTCAGCCGCGAGGTCCTCCAGGTCCGAGGGCAGGGCTGCAATGTTGTATGGGGGGGGTTTGAGGGTGGATTGAGACGTTTAGTGTCTGTTCAAAATGTCTGCACCCCCCTCCAATGCACAGTACCATGGGGAAACGGGATTGTTGATGCGCCGACATGCGGCGTGCACGCCGCTGCAAGACGTGATCCGCAAGCAACCTCAGGCAACCCCCCCTCACTCCCGCCCTCCTCTTCATAACACATAAAACAACCCAACTCACCCTTGTCAAAGTCCATGGCGAGGGGGATCTTGCGCGGCTGGCCGTTGGGCGCCAGCACGCGCTTGGTGCTGCTGGGCGGCGCGGGCGTGGCCGCCGTCGAGCGCGGCGGCGTGGAGACGGAGGCGGAGGCGGAGCGCGCCGTGCCCAGGCTGCTGCTGCCCGAGGCGGAGCGCGCAGCCAGGGCGCGTCGGGCCGCCGCCACGGCGTCCGGCGCCGCCTCGGCGGCGACGGCCCCCGCCTCGACGTGCAGGTGCAGGGCGGGGCGCTGGGGATCCTTGGCGCTCGCAGAGGTCGCAGCGGCCGAGGCGGCGCCGATCTCGACCGCGCCCGCCCGCCCCGAGGCCAGCGTCCAGTCGCCGCCGTTCTCCTGGTCGGCGGCGGGCGAGCCCCGCTCGCCCCGGTCCAGCGGAGGCAGCGCCCTCTGCGCTGCCAGCGCGCGCAGCGCGGCGCCCTGCGCGGCCAGCTCCGGCGCCACGGCACGCAGGTAGAGCTGCTGCGGGCCGATGACGGAGCCCGGGCGCGCGACGCGGATGTAGCCCATGGCCTCCTCCGCGCCGAAGCCGTGGTGCTTGATCATGTAGGCGCAGATGAGCACGCCGGTGCGCCCCAGCCCGGCCTTGCAGTGCACGGCCAGCGCGCCGCGCGCCGACTCGGCCAGGGCCAGGAAGGCGTGCAGCGTGTCGCGCGCGGGGCAGGTGCCGTCGGGGAAGTAGAGCTCGTGGTGCGCCAGGCCGTGGGCCGTGAACCGCGCCGCGTCGTACATGCGCCGGTTCAGGCGCACCACCGCCTGCACCCCCGTGGCCCGGAAGTAGGGCACGTAGTCCTCCGGGGTGAATGTGCGCCAGCCGCCGTAGTGACGCGGCGTGGCGCTGGGGCCGCTGAAGGCCAGCAGCTTGCCGGGGACGATCCAGTTGAGGTCGCCGTTCTCCACCTGCTCGTAGTGCTCGTACTCCTCCAGGTCGAACCCGCCGCCGGCATGCCAGGCCAGGAAGCCCGCATCGCGGGCGCGGGCCAGCCCCGCCACCACCGCCTCCACGCCCAGGCCGAAGAGGGGGGTGCCGGAGGAGGCGTCGCGAAAAGGGGGCAGGTTGCACAGCGCGCGCAGCGGCGCGCACGCCGCGCCGGCCGACATGCCGCGCAGCAGGACGCGGTAGGCGCCCAGCGCCGCGGCCGCGTTGGCGTGACGGTGCGGGTGCGCGCCCACCAGCAGGAGCAGGGGCAGGCCTGCGGCGGCCGCGGCGGCGGTCAGCCGGCGCAGGCTCTGGCAGATGCGCCAGGTGTGCGCCAGGTTGCAGGGGCCGAAGTCGGCGCAGAAAGGCTCGTACACCAGGTCGGGGTCGAGCACGTGGCACAGGGCCGCCGCGGCCAGGACCTCCGAGTCTGGGAGGGCGGCGTCGGGGGTGAGGCAGCACAGGTACATCGCGCCGGGGTCAACCTCGATGCAGCCGGGGAGGCCGGAGGGCAGGGAGAGGGGCGCCATGCCGCTCGCTGGGACGGCTGTGATCGGCTGGACCTCTGCGGTGCGGTGAGGGGGGGCGCCGTCGGGTAGCAACTCGCTTTGAACCCCCCCAAATCCTGCCGAGTATACGTCCCATGCCCGGTGCGGGCGGGACCAAAGTCAGTGGTTGGCCTGCATCGCACCGCGGATTCCACAACCGACTCGACTTTCGGGAACCGCGAGATCAGCCCAAACCCCCATCACCCATCTCCATGCTGGACCCAGATGAGCCAAAACCACTCCTCACCAGCGGGTTCGAGGTGGGTGCGAGGTCCAAGACGGTTGCGGGTGGGCGCGGGATCGCCGGGATGTCGAGGCAGCCGTATCGGGGTCGCGGGGCTTCGCGCACGGGATCGGGCACTTGGGAAGTCTTATTGCAAGCCCAGGAGTGCCTGAGCAAGTGGAGAGGCCTGCCTCGATGGGTGCGGTTATGGTCCCGGGCACTCCTGGCGCCCGCCTCAGCTGTTTTCCAGGTTTCCTTAAAACATATTTGGACCGGCCAGCTCCGCCCTGCGCGTGGGGACGGCAGCTCCTGTCACGCTCCCCCCGTTTTCTCCAGATCTTCAGCTCCTTCTTCCGGGGGGAGGCTGTGGCACGACTTGCAGCGTCGTGTACTGACGAAGCAGGCGCCGAATCTCATCTGGGGAGGGTGGGAATGGGTTCCTATGGGCTCCATGCGCCAAGGAGGCGAGAGCAGCAGTCTACCTCATAGGAACCCCTCTCCAGCATGTACCTAGGCCGGCACACATTTCGACGTGCGCGCCATCGACACACAGGGCCCTGGCCTCTACCAGCACATGATTGGGGACGATTGGCGCTTGCCCATCACCACCCTCCTCGTCGGCTCCAGCCCTGTACAGCTGCGAGACCACCACCTGCACGCTTGGAAACAAGACGGTGTGATTATGGCGGGTCTGTAGTGAGGATGCCATCAGTATCTGGTCAACACGCCCATGGTATCCTCCGAAGATGCCCAGCGGGCTCAAGGATCTTCACTTCTCGCTTGATCACCTGGACCTCCAGCCCAGATCTGGGGGCATGGAGGGTGACTGCACATCCTCGACGCTCCACAGTGTACTCGATCTCCATGCCCAGCGCTGTCCAGAATGCTGGAACTTCGGGGCCCTGGCAGGAGGACGTCGCCACACTTCGCACGCTAGCCTCCAGGCCGACCGCTTGCTTGCCCCGCAGCGGAAGCCCAAAGAGCTGTGCCGTCCATTGAGGGTTGCTGTACTGTGGGAGGGGTTTACATTCACAAGACCACTGAGGTAGAGCAGAGTATGAGACCTGCAGGCTCCATGGGCCCCGCACCTCGTAGCTGCTTCATTCATGCCGCGAGAAAGCACCACAGTCGAAGAATTGGGGCCTTGCAGGGTGATCTCCAGCGTATGTACGGGTGTGGGCTTGCTCCCACACAAGCATAGCAGTAAGTCTTCCAGGGCCTGCCTCGATTCCAGGGGCGCTGTACCACTGCATTTACATTCCATGGCGATTAGGGAGGTTTGGCAAAGAAGATGGTTGAATCGCAGGCTGTAGCGTCGCGGAAACGCCTCAGAGCCGGGTCTCAGATGGGTAAGGAAGCGCGATCAAGGGGTGGTGGATGGGGCCATGATACCTCTGTGTGCCCATCGACGATTGGATTACGCAATTGAAAAGTCGCGAAGGTTATTGTAATCCACACAGCGTGATTCTTGGGTGTTTGGAAAGCCGGTCTCGGTATCCACACCCCTTGGCATGCTGGGCCGTGCTGGGGTCAGGGGTTCATTCCACCGGTATGTTGAGCTGCCGTGCCACCCTGTGGGTTAACTTGTTCCCATAAACATCACAACGTTTGGGAGTGACGCAATACATCCTGTCACGAGTCAAGCAACACGCAAGTGCAGACTGTCATGCTTGAACTCGGGCAAGTGCATGCCGGGCCGGCGCCTCTGCGCCTCCCCTCAGCTCAGCCTGACAGCGCTCAAAGCAGCGTTTCAAGTCGGCGTACGTGACCACCAGCATCGACGCCTCGTCCGCGGAGAGTAGCAAGATCTAAGGGGGTGGGACATCGGGACAAGGGTCGTTGGATGCCAATTTGTAAGCATGTTCAGCAATCGTTGTCACCATGCCGGCCGCAGTACCGCCACCCTCCCAAGGTCCACGCCCATCCCACCGATTCCGGCACCCCAGCGTCCAGCTTGTTGAGGGACTCCGCCAGCACCCCCCAGTCCAGGGTGGGCTGACCCGCCTCGTCCACTTGGTGCAGTAGGAAGGAGTAGAAGAGCTTCAGCATATACCTGTGGAGGTTGATTCGTGATCCATGGGGAGAGGCATGTGCCTGTGGTTGCCATTGAGCACGATGTCCAATTCCCAGGAGCTACACGGGCACGGCACCAGATGAGTGGGACTTCAAGCGAGCGCACAGGGCGGGGTTGCTGCCTGGGCGAGCATCTCGTGCGCCCAGCAGGCTCCCTCATCAGCCGTGGGCCGGGCACACCCTGCCGCCATCCACGCCGCCCCCCCCCCCCTCCCTCCCTTCCCTCTCACACACCTGTCCCCCGTCTCCGCCCACTCAGTGTCGCCGCCCAGGCTGGGCCGCCCGGCCACGGTGCCCAGCCGCGCCAGCAGGCGCAGCAGGCGCCCGTTCTCGCACTCCTTGGCCAGCTCGGCGCGCATCGCGTCGCCGCGTGCTGCGGTCGAAGAAAGCGCGCCCACCGTGTGCATCGCCAGGGCGCCGGCCAGGGCGGACGTGTCCTGGAAGCCGCCGCCTGTAGAGAGGGAGGGCGGAGGGAAAAAGGGGTTGGAGGGGTCCTGAGTTGGCGAGCATCCCTGTCCCAGAATGCATTCCCACCGAGACCGCTGCTGGCACGCACACCTGGTCCGGCATCTAAAATCACAACCCCACTGCCACATGCACTCCGCACCCACACAAAACACACACAAAACCACCCGACGTCTCCACGCACCCTGCGCCGAGGCGAGCAGCCCCGCGATGACGCGGACCAGGTCGGGCGGGGTCGACCCCGGCAGCAGGTCCAGGGAGGGGCTGGCGCCCAGCCCGGCGCAGGCCAGGGTCAGCAGCGTGTGGCCCAGCGCAGCCAGGTCGGAGCGCTGCAGGCGACGCAGGTCCTCCTCGCCCGCGCCGGGGACCTGCATCAGCGCGTCCAGCGTGCCGGCGGCCGCGATGCGCAGACGGGGGGCGCCGCCCGCCTCGCTCGACACCAGGATCTACAGGTGTAAGAGTGGGTGAGGGTTGGTGGGGTGGATGGTGGTTGACAAGGGGGAAGGAGGGGTGGAACTCACCAAGGATGCTGAGCACTTCCCCCCCGCAACCCAGGCCCACAGCCTGAGGTGGTGCCCGCTTCTGGGCGGAAGTAGCTGGGGCTCGACCTCCCAGCCCACTGCCTTCCTTCAGTCCACCTCCCGGCCCCCCCACCGGAATGCCCCACCTTGGAGGGCGCCAGCCCCGCGCCCCAGAGCACCAGCCCCGCTCCATGCACAGCGTGCAGCGCCGCCGCCAGCTGGACGAGGTACTGCCAGAGGCGGTCCACGCCCGGCGGCCGCGCGCCAGGCGCCAGGTGGGCAACCTCCAGCGTGACCGCGCCAGGGACAAAGGCGTGGGCCAGCCAGAGCGCGGGCGCACCGTCCAGCTCGGCGCTGACCAGCGCCTCGCGCCAGGCGGCCAGGAAAGGCTGCCCCTCCACAGCGCGCCAGCGCTCCTGCGCGGCGCGGAAGCCGGCCAGCAGCTGCGGCGCGGGGGCCACGGCCTGCGGGTCCAGGCGCCGCAGCGCCACGCAGGACCCGTCGCGGGCCGAGGCGGCGCGGTAGACGCGGGAGGGCACGCCCAGGGCGGGCGCGGGGTGGGCCGCGCCGGGGGAGGCGTCCTCCAGCGCGCACAGCGAGTGGTAGCTCCCCACGAAGTCGGGCAGGCCCGGGTCGGGCTGTGTGGGTGGGTTGGTCAGAGAGGGTGGGCAGGTGGAAGGAGTGTCCCACAGAGATCATAGAGGTGGAGGGAGGGCAAACCACGCGGCAGGGGCCTGGGTGGGTTCTACAGCACGGGCCGCGGCCTGGCAAAGTGGACCAGGCGGCGCGTGGTGCCTCCCGCATTCATACACGCCCTGCAGCCTCCACTGCACCGTCACTCGGCCTCCACCCAGCACCCTAGGGCCAGGAGACCCTGTGCAGCATGCTCAGACCCCGCACCTGGGCCTGCTGCGCTGTCAGGTCGGCCTGCAGCTCGGCGCGCAGGGCCTCGGTAATGGAAAGCGCAGAGGCGGGCACCGTCGCCGGCTGGCCCAGCGTGGCAGCGTACGGCGCCGCGGGACGCCTCCCTCGGCCCCTGCCCGCCTGCGGCGAGCGCTGGCCCGCCGCCACTCCCGGGCCGCCGGGGACGAAGGGTCCCTGCCCCGCCGCGCTCAGCACCGCAAAGGCTGCCGCGGCATGTGCAGCCAGTGCCTTGGGCGGATGCGACGGCGCCCGCACGATTGGCGGGGGCTGCGGGGCTGGGCCGCCGCGGCCGCTGCGGCCGCCTGGGGAGTGAGGGGGCAAGCAGTGGGCTGAGGAGGGCTCAGTGGAGATGTGCAGGGGAGCACGAGGGTGTCCGAGAAGACGTGCACATGCCAGAGAAGCTTAAGAGGTGGCTGAGCGGTCCTGCGGCCTGCACCCTGTCCAGAAAGTTGCCGCCTTCCCTTAACAAAAGCCTGCGTCCCTGGCATACCCGGTCCGATGCCGCCTGGCACCCCAGGCGGGGGCTGCTTCGCCGCACTCACTCCGCCACCAGGCTGAACTTGGACAGGGGCCAGTCCTGTGCAGGTGTGGCATGAAGACCATCGCTAAGGTGAGATGCGCATTGCGCTAGTACATATCCCGACTGAAATATTTGGGTGCAGGTCGAGGCCTGGGCCCACCTGGGGTGAAGGGAGGTGCCTCGAGCCCCACCAAGAGCTTGGGAGAGGGCACGAAGGGCGTGGCCGACAGGGTGCCAGTGAGCGATGGGGATCCCTTCGCTCCGCCTACGGGCCCCGCCGGCTTCTGATCGCCAGGCACGAACTCCGAGGCGGTGCTTTGCAGGCTGGCCTTCATGGCCGCTGCCCCGCTGGGCCGAGGAGGGGTCGAGCCACACCCCCACCCACTCTCGACACCAGCTCTCACACCAGATGGATGATGGCTAGGGGAGTCATCAGGGATCTAAACTCCAGCATCATCCCAGCGCTGCTTGACAATCCTTCCGGTGGGTGTGATCGCCCGGCCTGCCCTTTCGTAAGGATCCTGGGCGCTGTCGAGATCAGGGGTATGCTGGAGTCCCAATGATGGAAGAACTGCCCTGCATTTTAGTACCCATATCCCAAGAATGCGCATCTATCTCCGCCACGCACTCTCTTGTGTCAAGTTGGCACTCTGGGTGGCCTCACCGTATGGTGGGCGCATGGCAGGTGGTTGAGCACCATGCCAATCCTGCTGGATGCATGGACCATTGTCGTGGATCACCAAGCGGGAACAGGATCCAAAAGATGGCTCTTGGGTGACAAACCGTTCATCCGCAACGATGTCCTCACCGCACCTAGTCGTCATGGTGCCTTTGCCTTGGGTGGATTGCAAACTTACATTCCGTATTCTCGGGGACAAGCAATCTTTCAAGGCAGCACCTGCAATTTGTGCTCATGGCCGATACATAGGACGAAGACAAAACATCGACAGAGGGGAAGACTGGTTTCTCTCTGCTACCCACTCAGCCGTGCACAATGGTTGCTCAGCCCCTCTAGGGACCTCCAGGAAAGCCTGTGTGCCCTCAAAACGTAAAGTATTCCCAATCTACCTCACACAACGTAAATATGAGCGCATCAACAGAGTCAGGAGCGAGCACAACATTTCCTGCGCGACCGCCACCATTAAACCACCCGAACCGACTATGCCGGTTTTCGGAGACTCCAAGCGTTGCGGGAACCTGAATCTGGGCATCCAGGTCCCCCATCTATCCCCCGCTGAGAACGTCCATCTGAGGAAGCTTTCTACTAAGCACCAAGCATCGTGGGAAGTGGATCAAGCGCATGACTGGCGCGGGCTTGTGACACCTGCTCCGTCAACTCCGCGTTGGAGGTGGTTGGGACCCACCCTCTCGTTCGCACGGCATGGACAGCCCCTTCCTTGCCCGCAAAAGCAGTGGAAACCTGGATTCCGCCCTAGGAGGGGATGGAGCAGGGGTGGACGACTTCCTGACCAATGGGGAGGAGCTGACACTGGACCACATACACAGCCTGTCAGGTGGGCAGCCGCGATGGGGGCGAGCCCGAGGGGCGAGCGCCTACACCAGTCAGCCATGCTCACTCATCTTTCCTCCCCTCCATACAGTTCGTCGCAGCCCCTATGCCAGCGAGGCCTCCCTGGGCAACCCAGCCAGGCTGCCCAGCAACCCCAGCAGCGTTGGGCCCAGCTCCGCCATTTCCACATCATCCAGCACCAACTTCCCCGCCCTCAGCAGCACCGCCGACTCGTTCTCCAAGCCAGAGGATGCCGAGTGAGCTGGAAAGGGGGGTTTGGGGGGTTGCGCTTGGCAGAGGAGTGGAGGAGTTTTGGCAAGTACAGCCTCTTGGTGATGCGAACGTCATGCGGTGATGCCTCACACAGTGTAGAAGTCTGACTCCACTCCACCATGGCACCCCCCCAACCCAACCCTCTGCAGGTCCATAAGCGGCTCCCCATCCGTCCCGCGCCGTGTGGGCGGCTCCTCGTCGGCGCTGCGCTCAGCCAGCAGCGGTGGCAGCGCCTCGGCCGGCCCCGGCCCTGCCGGCGGGCCCAAACCCCGTGCCTCGGTGAAGCTGCCCCGCGTCGCGGGCCTGGCCAAAGCCTCCCCGCGCAAGGACGCGGAGACCGGCCCAGGACCGCGCGGGCTGCCACCCAGCGCAGTGCGCCACCCGCCCATGCGCTCCGGCGGCTCCGTCACCACCCCCGCCTCCGCCCGCGCCAGCCCCCGCGGCGAGGCGGCGCCCCAGCGCGCTAAGTCCGTCACCGCGGCCGGCGGCGGGGCCTCTGCCTCCCTGCGTGCCTCCCCCGAGAGGCCCGCGC